CGTGCTGAAATCGTGATTGAAAGAGTGATTTTTCTGTTGTCGGTGCCAATATCACTGTTTTCGGACTCAGACATCGTGTGCATTGAGAAAATAACAAGCAGAGGATACATAGACTGCTACGTCTATGGCGGCGCAGATAAGAGGGTCGCGTGATTGTTGTTGCGACTATGCAGAAAGAACGAAGGTGTGACGTTCATTGTTACGGTGCAAATAGAATAGAGGCGTGACAGTGGCTACAATTTATAAGTATGAGAGAGAAAAAGGGATCGATTAAGGTGATACCATGTAAGATAATTGTAATGTTTTCCTTTCTCATTCATGCGAATATAATATATATACATCAATGTGTAACATTTGGTCAACTATCTAATTGCGATACATCATAATTACAAGAAACTAATTATGATAAATTATAACAAAATATTATATTCTATCAAGCCACACTCCGGCTTTGTCGGTCCAAGTTTCAGAGAATACTGTTTTGATCATGTCTATCACTCGGCCTACTAAAGACTAGGTAGCTCGAATCAAATAGTCAAAAGGTGATTCTAAAGGTATATTTTCCCTAGAGACGCAAGAGGGAATGGTCTCCCATCCCTCGCGATTAGATAACAAAGCCATGCGATCTATTAACAATTGTCCTATAAGGAAAGCACCCTTTGAAGACAATTCTAGTACCTCAAACTTTAAGAACATTATATAAACCTAAAAGGTAGATTTATATGAGGTACACATAATTCTAACATAAAAGACACATATTTAGGAAAAGTCATTAACTTGAATAGTATTTCCCAGTATATATCTAGTACATATCTTTAGGAAATAATCCTAATCTTGAAGTTAATCTGAATCAATCTTGATGAAAAAGAATCAATCTTTTTGATACCAGATGTTGGAATTAACCCCAATCTTGAAATTAATCTGAATTAATTTTGATGAACAAAAATCAATCTTTTTGATTGATTACTCCTGATGTTCTTCGCTCTTCATTTAACACCCCAGAAATTATAATTAATTATTTAATTGATTAATTGTGATTTATTGGTGAATATATGTGAATTATTGTTTAATGTTGTGGGTTATAGGTGCTATGTTGTGGGATAATGTTGGTTTAAAGAAATAATGAGAACTAATTATAATTTAGATAATTAGTTGATATTTAGAGTTATTTTGGTTTTAGATAATTAGTAACAGTTATTTAGAAATATTATTTATAATTAAAATAGAGATAAAATTGGTATAGAGATGTTGATGGCATAATCGTAAATATGGTGAAATTAAGTGAGGACTTAAGAGGAAAAACATAATAGGGATCTAAGGGGTAAGAACGACAAAACGAGAAAAATTAGAGTCTGCTTCTCATTTGGTACGATCGTGAAATTGGAAGATGTGAGAAGAGAAGGCTAGGGCTCAAGAGAAGAGGAATATTCATTCCTAAGGTTGAAGCTTTTGCAAGAACTCTAAAGTAAGGGTGACGTTCCAACTTTCTAAGGGTATTGTGTAATGATGGGTGTGTTAGGGATTATGATTGCTATAGTTGTTGTGTACTCTTGTTCATAAATTTTCTCTTTTGTGTGATTGAATCAATATGATAAATTGTTGAGATGTGTGAGATTAAATTGATGTTATTGATGTCATGGAATGAGAAGTAATATTGTGTAGTATGTATGTGTGTATGAGTTATGGAATTGAAAGATATGATTTTGATTGCAAATATGGGGTTTTAGGGGTTGAAAATACTGATTTTCGTACTTAAAACAGCAGAAAATTGCTTATGGGTAGTGAAAATCGATTATCACAATTGGGAAATTGATTTCCAGTTCAAAAATTGGGAAAATTGACTTCTGGAGTGGAGGAAATTGATTTCCTAATAAGGGGTAATTGATTTTCATCAGCTATGACAATATTTTTTGTAAAACTTCAAAAATTCATAACTTGAGCTTCAGGTGTCCGTTTGACGCACCATTTGAACTTGGGGAAAGATAATACAATTTATTTTCTTTTAAAAATGGTTTGATGTTCTAGAAATAAATTTAATTGGTGTGCAATTGAGTTTTGTGGTGTCAGTGTATGATGTTGGTGTTTGCAATTTGTAAAAACTTCAAGAATTCATAACTTTTGAACCGTAGTTCCATTTGGGTCTCCGTTCAAAGCGTTAGAAAGCTAGAGCGATATTCTTTTCAATAAAAATGGTCTTGCTAGAAGTAGGTGATTTCATTAGTTCATGGTTGTGTAAAATGGTATGTATTTGTGTGTTGTGTTGCTTGTGATGTGTATTAATGATACATTGCCATCTGGTGTGCTATGTTCATACAAATGTCAAATTTGTGAACCGTTTATATGATGATGAGTGGTTGTAACTGTATAATTGGTGAATTGTGATACCAGGGTGTTTTGTTGTTGTAATATTGTGTTATTGTTATCGATTATAATATATAGTTGATAACATGCTTGGTGAATTGTGATAATATGATGTTGTGTTGTTGTGATGATGCTATATAATATTGTTTGAGCATTATAGACTGCATGTTGCATGGATGAATGATTGGTGGCCTATAATGGTGTGTTACATTGATGGATATAAATATCCATGTGTTGTATTTTATTGCATGTTTATGTCGCATGCATTTATGGTGAGGACCTTAGTCCTGCTGGTGTGCTCTGGTCCTATGGTGGAGATCGAGAGCAATGTGAACCTAACTGTTCACGATATTGGTGTTCTCTGGTCCTATGGTGGGGATCGAGAGTGATGTGAACCTAATTGTTCACGATATTGGTGAGCTCTGGTCCTATGGTGGGGATCGGGAGCAAGGTGAACCTTTTTATTCACATATGGTACCCTATGTATTGAGTCCGTGAGTCTGTCTCATTCCATTACATTGTCATTATCATAAATGTTGAGTTGTGTGATTGGTGTATGTATTATGCGGTAATTTGATAATACGTGTTGATAGTGTGCGTGATTATATAATTGATATTTAAATGATTGTTGTAGATTGTGTGAAAGTGTGAGATGTGGAGTGTGTGACTATGCATGAATAGATCTGTTGTCTACTCATTATTATATATTTCTTTATATTGTTGTGATACCTCACTCCTTTTATTTGAATGTTGTCTCCATGTGGATAATGTGCAGGTGATCCACAGTGAAGGTGTGGATGAGTAGAAGAGTGTGCTATTCGTTATGCTTTTATCGAGTCAGCGTCTGCTCTGATATGTAACACTAGAGAAATGAAACGCTTTTGTGTTTAATTTTGTGTTTTGAGGAGATTACTATGTTACCTCCTATATCTATTATTTCATATAATTACTAATCCTTTGAGATATTCGAATAATAACTTGCTGGTGTTTTCTGCTGCAATAAAATGAAGTTAGACATGATGATGTTTGTTATAGTTATTATTTATAATTTAAAAGAATTGTATGTGTTGCATGTCATTTGTTATGGACAAGTTTGTGTTTGATGAAGGTAGCATCCTAATTATTTGAATGTTTTTAATTTACTCTGATTTTTATTTAAAATTATTCGGAGAAAAATTAGGGTGTTACGCTTCACTCGAGCGAATCAACCACACCTTAGTTGCAAGATGATTCTGCTGCACAAAGGTTATGAGAGAAGAAAAGAAAATGAGAAATTAAGATTTTAGAGATGAGAGAAGAAAGATATATTGATTTTGGAGAGTAACTCTATGCTTTTATTTCTCATTATTTTTTAAACTATTTACAATGATAGGGTATCTTCCTATTTATAGCCGAGTTTACTTGTTCACCAAATAAACTCTAACTAATTAACTTAGCTAATACACAAAAGAACCGCTAAATTCAACTCTGTCAAGGTACACTTCTTCGACAATAATATATTTCAACAATTATAAGATTTGACGACTACTTAATCTATTCAACTCTCTATTAAATATAATTAATACATAATCTGTTGAATACTCATACGACACGAAGACCATATCAAAATTCACCATCAAATTTTCAATTGACAATAGCTCGCAAAAAAAAAAAAGTTTGTTTTTGAATTACGATTATCATTCAAATATTTATAATTATCCTCCCAAACTTCATGTATCGAATTCTTGATTAACATGTATAGAGTTCTTGGTTTAAATTTGTTGTATTCATTATGAAGCTTAAAAAAAGGAAGATGGGTCACGTCTAAACTATGGCAATTTCTTATTCTCTACCAATTCTAGATTATATACAACCTTACATTTATTATTTTTAAATATTCTTGTCTAGAAAACCCCTCTAATGACTTGACTTTTTAAATCGGCAACCTCTTGATCAATTCCAAGTATCTATTTTCATGTGAAAGTGATGATATCCACGAGTTTCACTAAAAAAAGTCTTTAATCTTTGAAGCAACAAATTGAAGATAAAGTAATAAAGGGTTGAATACTCTTTCAATCAGGAAGAAAGAGTAGCATATGGTAGTTAATTTAAGATGAATTGTATTAATCATAGTCATGTACTGTTGTAGTACACAAGCACATGACATGCCACACAAACTCCAAAGCATATTGTGGGACAATATATACACCTAACCCAAATAGATAGAGAAACAATACCATAAACAAAGCAACAGAATGAAAGTGTGAGGAGAGGAGGGTATATGGTCCTACAATCCCCCCTACAAGTATTCACACAGGCTGTTCAAAGGAATCAAACCAAACTGACACTACACATGCCCTTGCCTCACAATTGCACTTCCACATTAAAAAGTAGACTATTTCATATTTAATATAATCAATTCAATTTTCACATCATACAACAAAGCACACACTTATAGTACACAATCCTAAACCTTTTTCTTCTTTCTAATAATCAATTTTTCTCTCCTCAACTATCAGTTACAAACCACACTCAAACTGTCATTAAACTCGTCACATCTCATATATTAGAAAACAAATTCTTTTTGTTCCTATCTAATATTATACACAACACATTAATTAAAAGTAAACTATAGTTAAATAGCACATTAAATATGCTGATTAGCATGATAATAAGGTGCATTGCAAGTGCCTGAAGCAAGTGATTAAGTGGTCATTGGTGAGGCCAGCTGCTTGCATAAAAGAATGAACCATTGTGGGGCCTACAAACCTAAACCCTCTTCTAATCATGTCTTTGCTTATGCTTTCTGATTTTGATGTCTTCACTGGAATCTTGTGGCCAAATTTGTATTGTGTGGAAATGGGTTTATGATTCACAAAACCCCATATGTATTTGTCAAATGAACCAAACTCCTTGTTAACCTGTAATTGTAAAATCGAATAATTAGCATTATATTGCCCTAATATTCCATTGAAATTAGCTTCATCTCACATTCATTTTTATGTGTCTAGGTAAAAATGAAAAAAGACCCAACTTTTGAGTGTGTTTACCTCCAAAATTCGATTAGCATTATCAACAACTCCTCTAACTCTGCTTATATCAATGCCATGTTTCAAACTAATAGATATCATTTGCTTATCAGTCAAGTTTGCCAAAGTTGCTGGATTAAATTCAGAAAATGCAGTCCTGTGAATAATTTAAATTTCATTAGTTCAACCATTCTGAAAACATTTAATAGCATTTTACAAATGTCTCACACTTAGACATGTCTTTAATATAAAATATCGGTGTTAAGGAAGTAACTAGTACAATAGAATCCAACCTGAACTCATGACGTTTCTTTAAGATTGAGGTCCAATCAGATCCAACTTGAGCACCACTCAAAACTAGAAGTTCAAACAACATTCTTCAAGTGCAAGAGAATATTTTTCAGTCATCAATTGTTTTGTACATAACATAACTACTGTTTGATCTTCATTATTGTAATTAGTGTGTGATGAAATGAAAGAAAAAGAAAATTGAGAACTTACTTGTCATCATGCACTGGAACTCCCCATTCCTCATCATGATAAGCAATATAGATTGGATCTATTCATTGAAAAAAACACATTAAGATTTGTACATTCTGTTTTTCAGATAAAGCACGCACACAACACAAGTCTCTAAATTACCTGAATTGGGTGTGATAAAGCTGCATCTTTTCTCCTTCTCTTCACTTGTTTTTGAAGCAAGATTGTTTAAAGTATCAAGAGGAGCAACAACACTTTCAAATTTTGCAGACTTTGATCTTCCATAATGAGCAATCTTCATTTTTCTCTGAGCATGCTGCAATGCCATCTGTTCTCTCCTCAAACCAGCAATACTTCCTGGTGAATCAGTGATCAAACTTGAAGAGTAACTCAATGATGATTCAGTAGAGTCATTACCATATGAGCCTTGTTTAAAACTCTTGGATTTTTTTAAAGTTGAAGTTTTTGTTGAGTTTCTTGGTGTTACAATCTTTTCAGAACTAGTGTTGAAGAGATAAGTTTCATTGATTCTCTTTGTTGGTGTTGGTGTTGGTGTTGGCCTTGGTGACTTTAATAACTTGGGTGAAAGTGGAGGCGTTGATGAAGTTTTGGTCTGAAGTGGTGGTGAAAGTGATTTTGGTGGAAGTTTCTTGATTGAGTTTCTTCTTTCAATGTTTGGAACTCTGTTACAAGTTGGTTGAAGAACAGGTCTGCCATTGATTTTGGCAACAGGTGATGTGGCTGAGGTTGTGATTTCTATGCCTGCTGCTGTTACTTTGGTTTTGGAGCTGCACATTTTGTTATTTGGTTTTGTGTGATTAATTGGAAAGAGTATAATGGAAGAATGATATGAAAAGTTAAGGGAAGGTAAGAAATGAAGGATGTGATGAGGGGATAGAAAGGAGGAAAGTGGGGGTTTTATAAAATGTGTGGATGGATGGTAAAGGAGAAGTTGTAACATAGGAAGCTTGGAATCTCTCTACAACCCTATTCTCAAAAATATCATTTTTTTATTTTGTTTAATAAATATTAATGAATCAACTAATTTACTTTTTAAAATATTTCCATGGAAGGTTATGGGTGGAATAGTGGGTTGGATATTGTGATGTGCTGTAGTCATGAGTGTGTTTTTATTATTGCATGTTGGAAGAATGGAACTTTCCTCATTCCCACCATGTTGTGGTGATGTGCTTCTCTTCCCAAGGATTTCTAGGTTGGAGTGAGGGGCAAGAAAGGTAAAAATGCAAGAAGAAAAACACCAATCATTATTTGGTCTATTCTTTTTAGCTGTATGGAATCTCATTCTCTGTCACTATCTCATCTCATGAGGGTAGAAAATATTTAAGACCCTTTATAAACACCGTTACAAAGTTGGCACAAGGACTGAAATAAATGGTGGTGTAGTTAATAAAATAATTGAGGCTTTTGGTGGGGTTTTTATGACACTTGAATGAGATCTTTTCTTTTTGGAATATTTTACTTTTCTTTTCTTCCAACTTTTAAGTTGTTTACTTTCCAGGTAAACTGAGATGCATATGTTTTCATTACTGCTGATTAATGAGATTAATGATTTGAAGTGAATAAAATCAGTCTTAATCCATACAGGTTGGCTGAATGATCTGTTTACTGAACACAAGACATGTTATGGCCCAAAAGTGTAGGGTCCTGCTCAAATTCTTCTAATTTTTCTTTCTAGTGTCAATTTGCTGTCTTGAATATATTGACCTCGTTTCACCAAACAATGAAACCAAGATAACATGCATTTGTAGCTCACCTAATCGAAAGAAAGGACTTGAGACGGAAGTATCTATGCTTAATACAATGGAAAAATTGGTCATAAAAATGGAAATGAGATACAAATATGAATGACATCACTTTCATTGGTAATGGATGATAATGAATTAATGAAGAGCTTTTTTTTTTATTCATGGGAATGAGTAATGAATCTAATGTATATTTGAAAAAAAAATATCTAGGACTAGGAGGATAAAATAATTATAAAAAACACTGAATGTGGAATCTTTTTTAAATATTTTTATGGTTATATTATTAATAATAAGTTAATTGCTTTGTTTAGCGAGCCATATAATATAAAATAATATTAAAATATTTGTAAAAGTTATAACAATAATACTTTCAACCTAAACTTTTTTAATACAATTAGTAACAAACCCGTATTATCGCACGGGTCTCGTCTGAATTCACATTACATTTATAGATTATTAAATTATTAAGTATGTTACCATGTTTTCAGTTGAGTATATGTCTCATGTAAACCATATTGGCATTTAACTCCATATTTGTAGCAAGCGTCGGTATGAACAAATAGGAAAAATTATATACTTCTTGAAATACATGGAAAATGTACATACTATATATTTTAATTCAAAATAGATTTTTAATTTGAATCGTAAAGTATAAGATATAAAGTTTACCAACTATCAAAGTGCTTGAAAGACTTCATTGTACACAACATTAGTAGTAGTAGAACACAGTACATTCTCATTGTCATGAATTAGGATTTTTAGCCCACTTTTGCTCTTAACTCTTGAAATTGCAACATATAATTGACCATGACTAAACACAGGAGTAGGCAAATACAATCCAACACTATCAAGAGATTGACCTTATGACTTATTAATTGTCATTGCATAGGAGACAATAATCGGAAATTGTCTCCTAATCAACTTGAATGGCCAAGGTGAATCAGAAGGTGACATAGACATTAGTGGAATGTAAAAAATGTTACCTATGTTCTTTCCAGACATGATTTTTGCCTCAATGACATGATTTGCAAATCTTGTAATAATTAATCTTGTTCCGTTGCACAACCCATTGACTTGGTCCAAATTTCTCATTAGCATAATAGGTGTACCAACCTTCAATTTGATCCTATGATTGGGAAGCCTTGACGTTCTTAATTTACTGAAAAATTCAGGAGTTAGAACTTCATATGCTTCAGTATAACTTGAATCTGTTCTATCAATGGAATCAAAACTCAAATACTCTTTCTCTTCTCCTAAAAAAAAGTTTAAAAGAAAAACATAAATAAATTAGTAAAACTATGTTCTTAAATATATATATATATATATATATATATATATATATATATATATATATATATATATATATATATATATATATATATATATATATATATATATATATATATATATATATATATATATATATATATATATATATATATATATATATATATATATATATATATATATATATATATATATTATGAATGTAATAATACAGTAAAGATAAAACACATGTACCTGGTATCAAGTCTAATACATAATGATTGATTTTGTCTACAACTTCAATGGTTGAAGCAAGAATAACATTTCCTTGTAAGAATTCAACATCTTGATATTTTTCCAACAAATTGAGATATGTGTTTTCAACAATTGCTCTTATAGGATCATCAAAATTTGATATTAATAGCTCTTGAGGAATTTCAATATCAACCAAACCATCATTGGGTTCACAAATCTTACCATCACCCACATTTAAAATCCATTTTGAAAATTCCGCTAGTTCATTAGAACTTGTGTTGTCTCTTCCCTCTTGAAGTCTCATATTTTTTGATAGTGTTAAAACCTGGCAATAATCCCATACATAAGATGAACTAATTGATGCATGAACAATATCAGAACGCCCAGCTCTTGGAACAACAGGAAGAATCTGTCTAAAATCTCCTCCAAATACAACAACTTTTCCACCAAAAATAGTATTCTCAACACCCTTTTTGCTCATTACATCTTTAAGGGTTTTATCCAATGCTTCGAAGCAGTTCTTGTGAGACATAGGTGCCTCATCCCATATTATCACATTCGTTGCTTCAAATAATTGAGAATGTTCGGTGTCTTTGTCGATGTTGCAAGTTGAGTTGTCAAGCGTTGGCACAGGTATTTTGAACTTTGAGTGTGCTATTCTTCCACCCAGCAATAATAACGAAGCTATCCCACTTGAAGCAACAATAAGAACAATTTTTTTTTGAGAACGAAGTGCACTTGATAGTGTTCTCCACATGAAAGTTTTACCAGTCCCTCCGTAACCATGCAAGAAAAATACCCCTCCACTCTGTTTGTTAACAGCATCCATGATTTTCTCAAATATCAAACGTTGTTCATCTATAAAATACAAACCAAGAATTATAAGTGCAAGGACAATAAAAATCATTTTTGTAATTCATAGTATAAAGAAAATAAATCACCTGTAAGGGCATGAAAAAGTTCTTGGAATTTCTGTTTCTCGGTATCGGCATCGTAATTAAGTTCGTCATAAATAAGTTTATTGCCAACATGTTTTGTGATGTATGAATCTGGATACGGCATACATTTAAATTCATATAAACTTCTTCGATTCGATTGCATCATGTTCTCAATCTCAATTAGTGTGATATTCTTTAACTCATTGTCCGATAGCTGCAATTCTGTTAAAATTTTTTCATTAGTTTTCTATATAATTACATATGTATGATGCAACTGTTGTCATGATGTTGAAATACATTGAACATAAATCAAACAGTTGATGTTGCGGCTGCGTGAAATTAAATGGAACCAAAGACACTGTTGCAGCTGCAAGTTAAGAAAATAACTTACATACATGACAAATGACAAATATGAAAATGTTTCTTACGTAAATGGACATACCTTATGAAACATATTAAATAAGGGACATATGGATGAAGAATAATTATATTTTAAAGTAAGTTCATATCATTATATTTTGTAATAAAAAAAGATACAGCTTACATTCGGAAAATAATATTTGTTGACTTAAAAAAGTTTAATAAAGTGTTCATACCTCTTCTATTTGTTTTTTGCCTTTGTTGGTAGAGGATACCATCAGATAACGTCCTCCAAGTTTTTTCCCAAACATGTCGTGGTCTATTGACAGTACCGGATAGTAACATAGTGACAAATAACTTTCGTAAAAAATGCCCGGAACCCCAATTCTTTGCTTCGTCGATGGCTGCAACATATTCCTTGTCATCGTTAAGAAAGCCCATTTCGAAGCATGCATCCCTAAAAGAATCCTGAACTTTTCCACCCACAAATTTTATATCCTCATAGCAAGTTGGACCTTTGACGACTGTTAGCATCATTCTCAAGAAATATAACTCACCCGTACTTGGAGGGACCCAAATAAGTCTGTCAATTGTATTTCCTCTTTTACGCGGTCTCCATCGACGATATCTTTTATCATAAACAAATTTGGAAATAAATTGTGAGTACGTCAAATTCTTTGCCTCTGGGTATGCTTTTTTTGCTTCCATCCATGCTGTAAACATAGATTCTTTCACAGTTGGTTTGTCAAGCACCTCATCTATCAATTCATAATCGGTATAATAAACAGAGTTGTCTCCTTCAAGATGAAATAACAACCTTTCAACCGCGGATGATCTACCATGAATAGGAAATGAAAAAAGTCTCCAACATGCCTCACTTGGTGAGATATATCTGCAATCAAGATATTGCTTGATTTCGTCAACCATTCTGACCGAGGGAGATCCATCACCGTCAGTTTGGACAACAGCAGCAGTAATTCTATCATACCCCTTGTTAATATACTTAAATAAGTATTTAACTGAAGTACTTTGATTACACCACTCCATATTGATGTGTGCTTGGAATTTCTTCAACAAATATGGATTGTAAGGAACTACATATCTGTTATCAAGTTGAACGTGTTTTTTCAGCACTGTATTACCAGTTTCTCTTCTTCGGTACACGGGATATCCATCCTGATCAATAATGGTTTCGGTTTGATATTTCTTTGGAAAGTATTTTGAGCACTTTCCATTTTTCATGCAAGTTGAATTCGCATTTGCTAAACCACATGGGCCATGAATCATATGTGTCTTGACCAAATGGTAGAGTTGCCTATCATCTTCTTCCGTTGGTATCTCTGCTGAAATGATATTGTTTATATCATCTGGAGTCGGATACTTGCTTGAAGGATGCAAGAATAATAGTATATGGGCGTGTGGTAAACCCCGCTTTTGGAATTCAATGGTGTATATATCTGAAATTAAGTAAGTTTAAACTTAGTAAAACGATGCATATTACATATTTAATAAGATTAATGTCAAAAAATATACCTCGACTGAAAGGGTATTAAATTGACTTACATGCAATCACTCTCCCTAACACGTGCTTTTTTGTTAGATCACACAACAACTCATCGAACTTAATTTTGAAGACTCTTGAGATGATATCTGGACGGTCTTGAGAATTCAAGTTAATTTTGCTAAGCAACCTTTGGATTTCAGGCCAGTTGGGATTG